TTAGGTTGCAAGGTAAAAACAGGTTTATTAATGCTAACAAGCAAAAGCGGCTAGCCGGGCGACCGGGGGAAACCCTTGCTCCACCACAGTCCGCAAAATGGGGAACCGAAACAGCAGCAATTATAACCCTCGTTGGTCCCACCCCCCTAAGTCATGTCCATAGTCTATTGGTGAGACTTTCGCGGGCTATCCTCTGTCTGGTTCCTCTTTCGCGGGCTAGTCCGAGGTTGGCTCCTCCGTTCGCGGGTCTTTGCCGTTGCTGAGGGGCTTCCACCAATAATATCAAAGTCCTTAGTCTCTATGCGGCCGTGGTCCTGGAATTTTCCATCGGTAGATGTCATCTAATCATAGGACTCCTCGTGGCTTGCCCTCCATATTAGTCCCTATCAATATGCTTATAACAAACATCTTTAAAATGCCAAGTCACTCTGCGTTGTGTTAACAAACTCATGGTTAGAAATTTCACAATTAAATCACTTATGACTCTTAACAATATGGTTAGTAGGATACAACAACATCATTAACTCTTTTGAACAGCAAATTTCCTAGTTTTACTTATAACAGGCCCCATCAGTGTCAGAGCAAAGGTCCCCCATCCCTGTGTCCCTGTGGCCGCTGAGGCGGCAGCGCAGGCCCGAGGCGGTGCCGGGTCCCGGTGCAGCCGGGGCAGAGCGGCGGCTGCGCGAGCGGCAACCCCGGCGGTGAGTGCGGCAGCCCCGTGGGAGCGGCGGCTCCGGGCACAGACGCCGGCGGCAGCCGCTGTGGCGGCGGAGCAGCGACTCCGAGGCGCTGCAGGAGCGCCGGCTCCGCTCGCGGGCGCCGGCAGTGTTGGGAAGCCGGTCCCGGGCGGCTGCGGGGCAGCGCGGGCCAAAAGCGGCAGCGGCGGCGGCCTCGTGGCAGCGGAGGCTCCGGGCAGACACGGCCCCGCTCCAGCGCTGCCGCCTCAGCGGCGCTCAGGGGACGGCGCGGCGGCTCCGGGGGCAGGGCCGGGGACTCCCTCTCGGGGCAGCCCCGGGCACCAAAGAGGACCAGGGCCCGCCGTGTTCTCAGCTCGCTTCTCTGCAGTTCTCACGGCATCGGAGCACAGCAGGGGATGGGGAAACTGAGCTCAACCACAACAGGAGCTCCTGGAACCGAGTGGCCATTGGGACACTGCAGGGCCTCCTGGAATCCAGGGGCCGGTGGGACACTGGGGAGCCTCTTGGAGCCAAGGGAACCCTGGGATATTTTGGAACATCGTGGAATCAAGGAGCCATTGTGACACTGCGGGGCCTCAAGGAACCAAAGGATCCAAGAGAAACTGTGGAACCTCATGGAATCAAGGGGCCATTGTGACTCTCTCAAGCCTCATGGAACCAAAGGAATCCTGGAGAAGTAGTGGAAACTCATGAAATCATCAGGGCAATTGTCACACTCCAGAACCTCATGGAACCAAGGGTCCATTGTAACACTGAGAGGCCTCATGGAACTAAAAGAGCACTGAGAGTTTTTGGAACATCATGGAATCAAGGGGCCATTTCTGGCAGGATGCTCTGCTCTGATAATACCTAAAAAATGGTCAGAGAATGCAAACAATGCAAGCTCTCTGTGGTGAGTTACTGCTGGTGTCAAGGTGCTGTTTATAATGTTGAATTATGCTAAACCCAAAATGCTTCATGAAACTTCAAACACACATCCTGCTTTCTGAAGCAGGATTTGACAGAGAAGCTGCTCCCTGGCCCACAAATATGTCTGGCAGTCAAACCCTTGATAACTATAAAAGCCCCATCCAACTTTCACATGGCAGATTCTTCCCCAGACTTCCCTGAAGTGTGTGGAGCTTCTGCCATGAAGCAGGGACAGCTCTTCATGGGCACTGCCCAGGGGTTAAGTGAAAGAGAGAGAACTACCCCCTGTCCTTGTGGGGTGAGTTACCTCAATCTCTGCCTCAGGATTGTTTATTTTTGCTGGCTCTGATCCAATTGCTTTAATAGAATGACTTTGATAGACTGCACTGTCCTATCTTACACTATACTACTAGGAGTTTTTGGCTTTTATATTGCACAGTAAATGATTCTGTTTAATGTCTTTCATCTGTTCTCTTGTCTGATTAATTGTCTGTTCATTTGTCATAATAAATAATTCATTTTATAGAAATATTTCTGATTTGCCATCACTAAAACCTGCAGAACAAAGTGATTGAATCACACCTCCATAATTCCTTCAATCTAAACCAAACTCTGAGCCTGAGATTGGATCCAGCCACAGCCAGGTTCCTCTCTGAGAAGGAATTTGGAAAGCAAGGGGGTCCTTTCTGCACCTCGTAGCTCAACGAGACGGCTTCTGCCATCAACTTTGTCTAAGCCTTCCACCCCCCCAGCCCCAAGCCATGACACAGGGGCATGTCTTGTCCATGCAGTGCAAACATGGACTCCTGAGCTGGTCATTTGCTGTCCCTCCTTGGAGGGAAGAACAAGCCCAATGGCCTGGGGTGAGAGGCCAGTGCTGGGAGCGGCGCTGGCTGTGCCAGGGCACTGCTGGGTGCCCCCACCCTGAGCACTCCCCCCCTTGTGCTGGTCACTGCTGTTTTCCTCTGCAGGGCGTTGTGTTGGGCACATCCTGGAGAGCAAAGTGGAAAGCAGATGGAAGCTTTGAGGCCCTGGCCTGAGGAGATGCCCCTGCAGGATGGCAGTGCTGCTGCAGAGGTCAGCTCTGTGCCAGCAGTGCCCGTGGCTGTCCCTGCCTGCAGTCCCTGGACAGTCCTGCAGCAGGACTGGCACCGACTGCCAGAGCACTGAGGCCTCCAACAACACAGGGCTCTGCAGGACAGTTGAGTCCGAAAAATCGTTCCAAGAAGCTGCTCAGAGACTTTTTTATCTTTAAGCAGCAAGGTATTTATTTATTCAATGTTGGGAGCAAGCCAGCTTGCACTGGACAAACTTGCTTGAAGGTTTCACACAAAATCAGCATTTTTATACAATGTTCAGATGTGATTAAATGCATATTCAAGTGATTACTACAACTATCTATGCATATCAATAACAGGTGGAGTATAGGTGGAGCTCAGGCGGGGCTTGGGGCGGTGCTCCGCTTGGCCCTCAATCCTGAGGGGACTTCCACTCTTCCTCCATGGATCTGGGGACTTCAACTCATCTTCCTCAGCTTGACCTTTCTTCTCTTCCATTGTTCTTGACCCGCTCACTCAAGCTTGGAAAAAGCCCTGGCTCCCGGCCTGTTTCTTCTATTCAAATGTCTACCTGATCCTGCCGCATTTCTAATTTATTACCACTAGGCCTATGACATGTTCCTGTACTATTCTCTTAAGCTTTGGTCCAGTAAGTAGAACAGAATGAGCACAGATGGTTTTAGATGTTGGTAGCTTTTTAGCAGGCCCAAATTTCTTAGTTAACTCTTTTGGGCCTGGCCTCCTTTTTCATTCCCCCCTTTTTATTTATAACTTACGAATTCCTTCGTCAAGTTCCAATGGGTTTTGATAGGTATGCATCACTGTCTAAATTATCTGCATCCTTTTGACCATGGTACTTAATTTGTACCATAGCTAGGCATTTAAAAGGGATAGCAGAATCATGACGGCTCCTAAAACCAATATTGGATGTATTTAATAGTGAAACACTTGTGATGCTGTAGGGGGTACCCTGTAAAGATGTCCTATCAATTATGTTCTTCTACTTGCTCTACCTTTGTGTTTTATTCACCTCTTGCACCATCTTTTCTATATCTGGGTGTTCAAGCATCTTTTGGAAAGACTTATGTCTATTCCTATTAGTAATTTATGTACATCATGATACAACAAATAATCATTTTCAATTAATTGCTCAGTAGTTATTGAAATTGTATAGTTAAAATCACAGCCTATTACTTTAGTAAAACAAAAAACTAGTACAGCTCACTACTTCATGACAAGTATCTATGGTAAAATTAACACAAAAGATTCTAACACATGCACATCCATTTCCTACATAATAAACTTGTGACTGGGTTTTAGCATGGGGAAGCATTTCAAAGGTACACACACTATTCTCAGTATCTAAGCATAAATCTTCATTTTCTACTACAGCATTTTCACAGATATATCCTAATTGTCCTTTAGGAGTACATGCCTCAGTACTGACTGGCTGCCACTTTTTCTTGGTATGATCATAACTTGCCCAAACATTATGGTCTGTGGGTCTGACAATTACGTTTTGGTGTATGGCTCCTAATGTCAGGATAGGAAAGATGGTCTTTTCTTTGGCTGCACTGATAGTGAGTACATAAGCTTCAATTTGTTCATGTTGAGGGTTGTAAGTGAAGTTCACTAACTGCCACCACGCTTGGTAATTTTTTTCAAATTGTGTAGTGGAACTGTTTCTAGCTATTATTTCTCTTACCTCTTGTAGCAGTATTCCTGAAGTTCCTTCTCTTAATATTCCTGCAGCTACAGATTGTACCCACTATTGAGTTTGGAGACATTGTATTGCAAGTGCAAACCTTTTATGGATGGTACCAGCATAGTCAATAATCTTGGTAAAATCCCCTGCAGTGTGGTTAGCTACTAATGTTAGCAACCTAACTGCCAATGATTGTGTTTCTGCCAAAGTAAGCAACGATGATCTTAAAGGGACTTTGAGTTTTCCCAAATCAGAAGTGATGGCACTTAGTTTACTCACTAACACTTCTTGGTCTATGGTGTTTAGGTCACCTAATCCTGTGCCAAACCATGCATTCCAGCCCTCAAGACTTTGCTGAATATAGGGCTGACAGTCTTTTTGTATGTGTGATATGTTTACTTGAATGGTTTTTTTTTAACTGTTTTCAGTAAATATGTGGGCTAATTACGTAAGGTCCAGAAAAAGTTAAATTGTGAACACTCTCACAGGTTAAAGAAGGAGTTGTAGAGCTGGTGGTGGTAAACTGATTTATCTAGAGTGAAGGTGTGCCAACATTGATCAGAATCACATGCATGCCCACTAATTACATTTCCGTAGTCATACGGGTAGGTCAGAAATACTTTCACAGTAATGTCAATTTTGGGTGACCATCTGATCTGTGAGGGTGGTTTATACGCTTTGCATCCAACTCGAGTTCGTTCTCCAATTTTTCCTATTAAAACACTTGCGTGGTGTGGGGTACCAGGATTTTACCAATTATTCAGTACCCTCGTTCCTTGGAGGACTATAACAGATGCATTGTATTGGTTCATTTGGGCTGGCCGAGGCGGAAGATCTGGTTGTAAATAAAATAATAGACCAGAGACCCCATTATAGGCCTGAGACCATGATGAGTTCTGGGCAAGGGCTTGATCTAACACCAATGTACTTATCAGTCCAAAGACCAGCATTGAGAAGGCTTGAGAGTAGATGATTCCTCTCCCGAGGTCCATGCTTCCTCTGGAACACTCTTGACTCGAGAGTAGTGGATCCACGTGGGTTTCTCTTTCACCCAGATCACTGTGAAGGTGGTCATCAACACCTGGAAGGGTCCATCCCACTTCTCTCATAGTGGTTCTCCTGAAAGATTCTTAACATGTACCCGATCACCAGGGTTGAATGGATGTAACTTACAGTCAGGCTGCTTGGGTTGGTGTTCTAACACCACTGTAGCATTTTTCTGCAATTGTTTCCCTACAGCCATAACATGATCGTACACATTCTGATTACTGATTTGATCTACAGCTTCACTGTTCACAGTTTGCATCATGTAGGGTCTGCCCAATAGAATTTCAAATGGACTCAGTTTCTCTTTTGATCTCGGCTTGACCCTTAGCCTGATTAAAGCAATAGGTAAAGTTTGATACCAATGAAAATTTGTTTCTTGACAGATTTTAGCAATTTGTTGTTTAATGAGATGATTCATCTTTTCTACTTGCCCACTTGCTTGTGGTCTGTAGGGCGTATGCAGTTGCCAATTGATTTTTTAGTGCTTTACTTATTGCTTATACAATTCATGCACAAAAGTGTGAACCTCTATCTGAAGACATGCTCTTAGGTATTCCAAACCATGGTATAATCTCATTCAACAAGACTTTAACCACTCCTTTTGATTCATTCTTTTTCTACATGGGAAAGCTTCAGGCCATCCAGAAAATGTGTCAGTCAAAACTAAGAGATAACAGGACTCCCCCCCTTTTCTTGGGAGCTCAGAGAAATTAATTTGCCAAATTTCACCTGGGAAATGCCCTTTACTTATTGCCCTTTGGTGTATTTTTGTTCACATTGTTCACAAAGTTCACATTGGGATGTGACTTGCTCTATTGTGGTAAATAAATTTGGTCCTGCTACTCTAGTCCTTAAATGCTAATAGAGTGAGTCTAAGCCCCAATAGCTTTATCATGTTTTACTTTTACAAATTGCCACACTAATTTTTCTAACAGTATTAACTGACCTGTTTTTAGTTAACCTCACCCATCGTCTAACAGCTTACCTTCATTTTCATGTATCCACTTATAATCTGTTTCTTGATATTCTACCTGTTGATCTGTGTCTAGTTCTTCTAGCACTAAAGCTGCTACTGGTAGTTCTTTACTTCTTGCAGCAGCTAATTCAGCTCCTGCATCAGCTTTTCTGTTTCTTATTTCCAGGACAGTGTTACCTTTCAGGTGTCCTTGGCAGTGCATAATTGCCACCTGAGAGGGGAGTTGTACAGAATCGTAGAGTTTCTTCAGCATATTTCACAACTTTTCCTTGAAGAGTTAAAAGTCCTCTTTCTTTCCAAATTGCTCCATGAACGTGAACTATGCCAAAGGCATATTTGGAGTCAGTCCAGGTGTTAATTTTTTTCCCTTTTGCCAATCCTAAAGCTCAAATGAGAGCTATCACTTCTGCTTTCTGGACTGAGGTTCCTGCGGGAAAAGGATTTGATTTGATTACCTCAGTAGTGGTGGTCGCAGCATACCCAGCCATCTTCACACCTTGTCTTATGAAACTGCTGCCATCGGTAAACCAGTCTTCTGCATCCAGGGGTGGTTCTTCTTTAAGGTCCAGGCAGCTGGAGTGCACTGCTTCAATGGTTTCCAGGCAGTCCTGCATGACAGGTACAGCTGAGATTCTCCCTTCTAGGAATGAAGCTGGGTTAACAATGTTAGTCACCTGAATGGTTATGTCATCTGATTCAGCCAGGATTACCTGATATTTCAGAAACTGGGAGGGTGACAGCCAATGATTTCCTTTCTCTTCCAGTACTGTAGATGCTGTGTGGGACACTAACACAGTCATTTTCTGTCCCATTGTACATTTCCTGGCTTCTTCTATATTTATGATCATTGTTGGTACTGCCCTTAGGCAGGTGGGCCATCCTTTGCTTACTTCATCCAATTGCTTGGAGAAGTAGGCTACTGCTCTTTTGTATGGCCCTTGTTGCTGAGCCAGGACCCCCAGAGCCATTCCTTGTCGTTCATGGGAGAACAACCAAAAGGGCTTCCTTACGTCAGGCAATCCCAACGCCGGAGTCCTTATGAGTTCTCACCTCAGTTGTTTGAAGGCTCCACTTGCTTCAGGGGTCCAGATGAGGTTGCCCTTAGTCATTTTCAGCAGGTCATATAAAGGCTTTGCAATTAGTCCATACTGATATATCTATAAACAACACCAACCTGTCATTCCTGGAAAGGCTCGAAGGTTTCTCACCATCTGTGGTTTCGGTGTCTGGCAGATGGTTTCCTTTCTCGTTGTCCCCAGAGATCATTGTCCTCTCGATACTTCATATCCCAGGTACATGACTTTCTCCTGGACCAGCTGAGCTTTCTGTTGAGAGACTTGATACCCATTTAAGTCCAAAAAGTTTAAGAGGTTTACTGTCCATTGGACACATTCTTCTTGTTTTTCAGTAACAATCAATAGATCATTCACATATTATAAAAGCACACCCTCTCCTGGTGGTGACTGCCATTGTTCCAATTCTTTAGCTAATTGATTCCCAAAATTGTGGGAAAATTTTTGAACCTTTAAGGTAACACTGTCCAAATGAGCTGAGTTTTCCTTCCTGGGGTGGGATTTTCCCACTTGAAGGCAAATATCCTTTGACTTTCCTGTGTTAAGGGAAGGCAGAAAAAGGTATCTTTTAAGTCTAATACTGTGAACCAAATTAGATTTTCTTTTAATATTGTTAATAGGGTATATAGGTTTGCAACAGCTGCATGTATGTTTTAGCTATTTTATTTACTGCTCTTAAATCCTGAGCCAACCTATGTGTTCCATTTGGCTTCTTGACTGGTAAAATTGGGGTGTTGAAATCTGATTCACACTCTACAAAAAGCCCTAATTTCAAGAAGCTATCTATTATTGGCTCAATTCCTTTTCTATTTTCTAGCCTCAGTGCATATTGCTTCCTAATTACTGGGTTTGCTCCTGGCCGTAATTCTATTTGAATGGGAGCTGCCATTTCGATTTTCCTGGTGTTTCAGTAGCCCAAACTCCTGGGTATACCTGATCTAAAATTTGATTGACATTTGAATGATCCTGGCTTGGCTCCACATGGCTCATTGCTAAACTCAGAGTTGCTATTAATTGTTCTTCCTTTACCTTAAATTCAATTTTACCCTGTTTGAATTCTATTACAGTTCCCAGATTTTCCAATTTTGAACTTCAGGGGTTTCAAAAGAAAGCTTTTCTGATTGGGCAGTGGCACCCACGACTTAAACATATTTATCACTTCTAGGTATTAATTTTTGATTCAAAACAGAAGGTGTAGCCCTGGTATCAATTAGAAAATCTAATTCTTCTTTTTCTTCCCCTAGCTTAGTTTTTACCAGCAGGTCCCCTAGGTGCTGGCCCACTGCCCCCCCCCTTCACCCAGTACTCTGTAAGCAACAACAGCCCCTCCTATGCCTGTATTTCCCCCTGTTAATTCAGGGCATTCTTGCTTCCAGTGTCCCTCTTTTCTGCAATATGCACACTGGTTCTGACCCAGCCTTGTCTGTCGGGGAGGCAAACCTTACATCCGTTACACAAGGCTTGTACATATAACCACAGTTGCAAAATGAACAAATCTTAATTCTAGGTCTTATCCAAAGTGGTGTGCTTATAGTTAACTCTTCAGCACTACCTCTCATATAGCAACTCTTAGCATGATAATACCTTGAACTCTGTGCTCCTGGATGTTTCAAGCAAGGTGTATCAGGTACACAAAAACTTTTCTGAAAACAAACAAGACAACCTTGTTTCCCTCAAAATAAACATTATTTGGCCAAATACAAACAAAACCAGACCAGACCAAACCAGAGGGGATGTTCCCCTGGAAGAGCGTCCTCTTCCATATCCCTGCGAGTGCCGGCGTCCCGCCTTCGGCTTATGGGAATCCAGAACCAGAATAACCAGAACCAGAATAGACAAAACCAGAAACCAGATACAAATACCTTTTATCAATAGGCAGTGTTCTTGTCCAGCCCCCACAAGAATCCACCGAAGAAGGGAGACCCTTCAGGTAAAAAGACTCACCCGAGGGCACCCAAGGGGGTCCCGTCCTCCGAGGGATTCCGCAGCCGGGTGGAGAAGGTGTCCTGTCGTGAGCTGCCAAATGAATCTGAAAAACTTGGTCCGAAAGACTGCTCAGAGACTTTTTTTATCTTTAAGCAGCAAGGTATTTGTTTATTCAATGTTGGGAGCAAGCCAGCTCACACTGGACAAACTTGCTCAACTTAAAAGTGCAAAAGCAAGCTATTTTATACACTTTAGATACATGGTTACATCATTTATTATACATATTAATAAGCAGGCTGGTCTCTGGGCAGAGTCTTTCCAGACATGCGCAGTCTTCTACTGTGGGGGTCTTCTCCTCAAGCCTTCCTCCCTCTGGTGGTCGCCATGGACGTCTTCCTCAATTTGACCTCTTCAATTAGGTGACCTGAATTCTTCAAGCTTGCAAAATCCTAGCTCTGGGCCTTCTAGATCTTATTCAAACATCTAGTTTACCTAAATTATTACTGTGTGTGTGCTACTCCTATTCTTTCCATATGAAGGCCTTTGGTCCAGTGAGCAGAACAGAACATATTAACCAGTGCTCCTAAAATGTTCTTCCAGCAACACAGGTATTGGGGTTTCTTAGCAGGCCAAGATATCTCAGTTATCTTTTAGGCCTGGCTCCTGTTTCATGGGAAAGGGGACTGGCCCTTTCTGGTCAAAAGGGATGGACTGACAGTCACTGGACTCCAGGGGTTGCCTCCCCATCAGGGGGTTCATTCAGGCTGGAAGGAGCAGCTGAAGCTCTTCCTGCAGTCAGGGCACACATACAGCTTCCCTTACTGGTGGGTCTGTTGGTGTGAGGTCAAGGCAGAGTTCCTGGGGAAGCTCTTCCCACACTCCCCACACTTGAAGGGCCTCTCACCGGTGTGGGTGCGCCGGTGGGTAACGAGGTGGGAGTTCTGCCTGAAGCCCTTCCCGCAGTCGGTGCAGCGGAAGGGCCTCTCATCCGTGTGCGTCCGCTGGTGCAGGAGGATATGTGAGCTGGTCCTAAACCTCTTCCCACATTCCAAGCACTTGTAGGGCCGTTCCCCTGTGTGGATGCTCTGGTGTCGGATCAGGGTAGACTTGTCCGTGAAGCTCTTCCCACATTCTACACAAGTGTAGGGCCGTTCCCCGCTGTGGATGCGCTGGTGGGTGAGGAGGTTGGTGCTCGTCCTGAAGCTCTTCCCACATTCCCCACACGGGTAGGGCCGTTCTCCAGTGTGGATTTGCTGGTGTCGGATCAGGGTAGACTTGTACCTGAAGCTCTTCCCACATTCCCTACATGTGTAGGGCAGTTCCCCAGTGTGGATGTGCTGGTGTTGGATCAGGTCAAAGCTGTCCCTGAAGCTCTTCCCGCACTCCCCACATGGGTAGGGCTGTTCCCCACTGTGGACGTGCTGGTGTCGGATCAGGTTGAAGCTCTGCCTGAAGCTCTTCCCACATTCCAAGCACCTGAAGGCCTTCTCCCTGCTGGGAGGCTGCTCAGGGACCACCAGGTCAGAGCTCCCCCTCAAGCTCCGGCCGCCTTCCCGGCACAGGCTGGCTCTTTCCTCCTCAGAGCACCCTGGGCTGGCTTTGGAGCCCCTCCTGCGGGGGGATCTCCGGCCCTTTTCCTCCCCGCTGCCTTCCTGCGCCGGGGAGCCCTTCAAAACGGCCTCTCCCACCAGGGGCTCACGGGGGGATTTGTCCTCCGGGCTCTCCGTCCTCACCTCGGGGCCTGGGGCAGGAAGCAAGAAGGACAGGCAGGGGATTTGCCTCCGGCCCACAGGGAAGGACAAGGACATCCCCCCAACTCCGGCCCCGGCAGGACGGCGGCGCCAGCGGGGTTGTCCTGCAGCCGGGGCCATGCTCGGCTGACAGAGCCAGCACAACACCTGCCCAAAGGGACACTGACTTCCTCCTCACCTGCCTGGGGGGACCAAGGCATCTTCCTCTTCCTCGCAGCCTCCTTCATCTGGCCAAGTTTTGGGAAGGACAGATCCTGATGGGGGGGAAAACAAGGGCTGAGCGTGTTGGCTTGGGGGTTCCTCCTGCCCAAGTCCATCTCTAGAACTCACCGGGCATCCTGTGACAATAAAAACCTCCAAAACACCAAGATTCAGCCAATAAAACCCAAACATGCAAGATTCAGGCAACAATCCCCCAGAAAGAGCGAGATGAACCTCCCCCACAAACGGCAAAAAGTTAGGGTTCAGCCAGAAAATACTCCAAACTATGAACATTCAGCCCAAAAAAACTCTCTCAGAAGTTCCCCCTCTCTAGTCTGTCTCCCCTGCAGTTTGGAGGGTCTGCCCTGTCTGGAATGCTGGGGGTCCCACTTAGGGATGCTGGGAGTGTTGGGGGTCCCAAGGGTCCCTTCTCCTCTGACTCTCGCCTTCAGGGTGCCGCGTTCCCAGACAATCCCCTTCTCCAAGTTCTCCACTTTGTTGTTCAAGGGATCCCAGGGGTCCCCACTGTCCAGGCTTCCCCTTCTCCGCACTCCCCGTTTCAGGCTCCCGGGGGTCCCGGGGCTCCTCCCTCTCCGTGCTCCCCCCCCCAGGCTGCCGGGGGTCCCCCAGCTCTGCCATCGCCCCGCTCCGCCCTCCACACTCGGCAGTTCCCGGGTTCCACACCCCCCGGCACTCCTGGGGGGTCCCAAACCCGCTGTGTCCCCCCCGCCAGCACCGGGCTGACAATGGAGCCGGCCGGGCCTGACCCAGCAACACCAACCCCCACCGTGGGGGGGACCCGCATCCCCCGCCCACCGCCGGGGCTCTGCCCCCAACTCAGCCCAGCACCCCCAAAAAACACCTCCTGCCCTGCCCCCAGAGTCCCCAAGGGCACAGCCATGCAAAAGGACCGGCTGGGCCCAAGGCACCCAAACAGTCCCACAGGCGGGGGGACATCAGAGACTGCCCCATGTCAACGAGAGCAGGGAGCAGATCGGGCCCCCTGACATGTGGGTGGGCTCTGGGTTCAGCCTGACCAGGGGCAATTTGGCACCAACAGCACGGCCCTGAACGCTGGCTCGGCACAGGGGGCCCGAGCTCCCCCCTCTCCAGGCTCTCCAGGCTCTCACAGCTCCCCCCTCTCTCCAGCCTCCCTCGCTCTCCAGGGATCAAGGCATGGGGACACGGAGGAACCCCCACGGCAACCCTGCTCCCGGAATCCCCCCTCCCCTTAGTCCCCCTCTCCCACCCTTTTCTCGGGATGTTTCCCAGTGTGGATTTGCTGGTGTTGGATGCGGTGGGAACTCTGCCTGAAGCTCTTTCCACATTCCCCACACATGTAGGGCCGTTCCCCAGTGTGGATGCGCTGATGTCGGATCAGGTTGGAGCTGTCCCTGAAGCTCTTCCCACATTCCCTACATGTGTAGGGACGTTCCCCGGTGTGGATGAGCTGGTGCTTGAGGAGGTTGGTGCTGATCCTGAAGCTCTTCCCACATTCCAAGCACCTGAAGGGTTTCTCCCTGCTGGGAGGCTGCTCAGGGACCACCAGGTCAGAGTTCCCCCTCAAGCTCCGGCCGCCTTCCCGGCACAGGCTGGCTCTTTCCTCCTCAGAGCACCCTGGGCTGGCTTTGGAGCCCCTCCTGCGGGGGGATCTCCGGCCCTTTTCCTCCCCGCTGCCTTCCTGCGCCGGGGAGCCCTTCAAAACGGCCTCTCCCACCAGGCTCTGCCGGGGGGATTTGTCCTCCGGGCTCTCCGTCCTCAGCTCAGGGCCTGGGGCAGGAAGCAAGAAGGACAGGCAGGGGATTTGCCTCCGGCCCACAGGGAAGGCCAAGGACATCCCCCCAACTCCGGCCCCGGCAGGACGGCGGCGCCAGCGGGGTTGTCCTGCAGCCGGGGCCATGCTCGGCTGACAGAGCCAGCACAACACCCGCCCAAAGGGACACTGACTTCCTCCTCACCTGCCTGGGGGGACCAAGGCATCTTCCTCTTCCTCGCAGCCTCCTCCTCCATCCGACCAAGCTTTGGGAAGGACAGATCCTGCTGGGGGGAAAACAAGGGCTGAGCACGTTGACTTGGGGGTTCCTCCTGCTCAAGTCCATCTCTAGAACTCACCAGGCATCCTGTGTCCATAAAAACCTCCAAAACACCAAGATTCAGCCCAGAAAACCCAAACCATCGATACTCAGGCAAACAACCCTTCAGAAATAGCAAGATGAACCCTCCCAAACGGCAAAAAGTTAGGATTCAGCCAAAAAGTACTCCAGAATATGAAGATTCAGCCCAAAGAAAAGTGTTTAATTGGGAGAATGAGGGGAATGAGATCATTTCATGAGCACTTGATTGAGTTGCTGTATATTAATCAAAAGCTGTATTAATGCAGTATCACTTCAAACTCACCAGGGCTGTTGCTCGAGCTTATCTGGCCCCCTGCCAGTCCGGGGCTGTTTCTCCAAACCACCAATCCCAGTGTGCCAAACGCCCTGGTTGGTCAGTGCTGGCTGGGGCAGCGGGCACTCGGTGAGGGGATGAGAAAACTGTACCCGGGGCTGGGTTGAAAGAGGCTTCAGCACCACTTCTGATGGCCCGGGGGCAGCATCTGGCTTCTCCCAAACAGAGAGATGGCACTTGTTCCTCTGCAGGAAGTCAAGGGCAGGAGGGTGACTCCTGCTGCATGGATGGAATGGCAAAGGATCCCTTGGGTCCCCAGGATGGATCAGCACTTGGGGATACAAACTGCCCTGGGGCTCAGGATACAGCTGCCAGCACAGATTTCCCTGTAAAGTCTGAAGGGAGTCGAGCTCTGCAGAGGAGATTGTGCCCCATGGATGGGATTGCAGAGGGGCCCTCAGGTCCCCAGCAGGAATCAGCAACCAGGAATAGACACAAAAGGCCCCCATGAAGATTTCTGGGGCAGTGTCCTGGAGGGAGGGGACAGTGTCACCCCACCAGGGCGGGGCTGGCAAGTGGGAGGCTGCTCCAGGGCTCTGCAAGAGGCCTCGTGCTCTGCTCGGCCCCACCACTGGCTGGTCCCAACACCCCCGGCTGCCCCCGGCCCTGGGCAGCTCTGCTGCCACAGGCTGTGCCCTCACCGTGGCCCTGCAATGGCCCTGCCTGTCCCTCACCCGGGGCCCTGCCCGTGGCCCTGTCCCTTGGCTCTCTCTGCCAGCTCAGTGTGGGGCACACGGGCTGGGGGTCCCTCCCAAGCCCCCCGGGCAGCCGGCGTTGGCTGGGGGGATGTGAGGGCTGGGCCTGCTCAGCACAGCCCCGGCCTCGTGCCCAGCGCCTCTTTCCTGCCCCACACAAGAGCTTCCCGGCCCCCCCAGGGCTCCCCTGCTGCTGCCTCTGCTCCTGGCCCTGCCTTTGCTGCTCCCTTGGCTGGGGCAGCGGCTGCAGGGGGGGATGGCAGCAGCTTCAGCTCCACGGCACTTCCTGGGGGGAGCTCAGCCCGGGGGGACGGGCAGGGACCTGATGGGGATGGACAGGGGCCCAGCAGGGACAGCCAGGGCCTGCAGGGGAAGGCACAGGGACAACCTGGACCCCCACACTGACACTGCTGTCTCTGCTCCTCCTTGCAGGCTCCGTGGCCAGGTACAGTTTGTGTTCCTGGGTGCCCACCATCTCAGCACTTGGAGACGCTCAAATCAGCGCCCGCAGCTCTGCAGCAAAGCCCCAGCTCACCTGGCACACAGGGGATGGACACAGCACCTGCTCAGGGATGGGCATTCACAGCTTCAGGTCTTTCCCACCACGAGGCTGCCCTTACTCAGCAGCACCCCTGCCTTGCACTTATTCTCAGCCTCACCTCAGGGACAGCTCTGGGCTCACCTCCGCGCCACTTCTCAGCCTCACCTCAGGGCCTGGGCTCAAGGACAGGAACCTGCAGGGAGGGGACATCATGTGCAAGCTGAGGGTTGCCTGCTTGCACTGGGCTGGGGGCTTCTTTCTCCTTCTACAACCAGCCCAGAACTCAGCCTGCTTTTCTAACACCACACATTTACAGACTAACCTTGCAGATAGATATGGACAGACATCTCTATCACCCTGGGGATGGAGCCTCAAGCATGTGCTGCCACAGGAATGGCAATCAGAGAATCACAGAATCAGCTGGGTTGGAAAAGACCTCCGAGATCATCAAGTCCAACCCTGGATCCAACCCCGCTGTGCTTCCCAGACCATGGCACTGAGGCCACATCCACTCTCACGTTCAACACCTCCAGGGATGGGGACTCCACCCCCTCCCTGCCCAGCCCATTCCAAGGCCTCATTACTCTCTCAGCAAAAAATTCCTTCCCAATATCCAACCTAAACCTCCCCTGGCACAGCTCAAGACCCAGCCCTCTTGTCCTACTGCTGCTTCCTGCCAGAACAGCCCCACCCCCACCTGGCTACAACCTCCTGGCAGGGACTTGCAGAGAGTCAGGAGGTCTCCCCTGAGCCTCCTCTTCTCCAGCCTCAACACCCCCAGCTCCCTCAGCCTCTCCTCACCACTTGTGCTCCAGAGCCCTCCTGCCTTCCAGCACATCAACACACCCCAGCTTGGTGTCACCTGCACATTTGCTGATGAAATGCCTGGTTCTGCAGGAGCTGCAGATGCTCAAGGGGCAGCAGGACCAAGTCAGGGGCTTGGGGGGGGCCTGGGGGGCTTTGGGGTGCGGGAGGGTCCTGGGGGAGCTGGGGAGGGGCTTTGGGGATTGGGGGGACAAACCAGGACAGACCAGGACAGACCAGTACCTCCTCACTGCTCCTCAGATCTCTCCTGAGCTGGACCACGTTGTTGTGGGACACCTGAGCCCCCCCCAGTGCCCTCCCAGTACAGCCCAGTGCCCCCAGTACAGCCCACTGTGTTCCTGTCCCAGGGTGCAAGGTGATCCCTCTTTGGGGGGGTTGGAAGGGATTTGAGGGAGGGCTGGGGGAGATTTGGGGGGATCTGAGGAGTTTGGATGGGGATTTGGGGGTTTTTGGGGGGCTTTGGGTTCATTTAGGGGAGTTAAAAGAGGTCTTGGGGGGTCAAAGGGATCTGTGGGGGGAGGGGATTAAAGGGATAATGGGGGTTAGGGGACATTTGGGGAGTTAATCAGGCTTGGGGGGGGAGAGGAGGGACTGCAACACGAGCAGGTGAATCCTGAGACCCATTGGTGTCCCCAAGACTCTCTTGGCGTCCCTAATTCCCCCCTTGACACCCCAAGACAACTCTGGTGTCTCCAGTGTCCCCAGGGCCTCCCCATGGCCATTATTCCTCCCTTGACACCCCCAATTCCACTGTCCCCAAATCCCTTTCCACTGTCCCCAAACCCCATCCCTGATGTCCCCAACCCTCCATCTCACCCCAGGAGCCCCCCCTGGACCCTCTGACCACAAAAACAACCCCCTCCCACTCTCACAGAAAGGCCAAGGGCATCTGGGGACACGTTGGGGACAGCTGGGGGTGATTTGGGGGGCACTGGGGGATTACTGGGGGATACTGGGACACAGTGGGGGAAACCAGGGGGCACTGGGAGGGACTGGGGGGGAACTGAGGGACACTGGGAGGGCACTGGGAGGGATTAGAGGTGAACTGGGGCACACTGGGGTCACTGGCAGAGAACTGGGGAGTTACTGGGGGATTACCAGGACACACGGGGGGACACTGGGAGGTTACTGGGCCATACTGGGGGTTAGTGGGTGCTCACTGGAGGATCACTGGCCCATACTTCAAAACAGTGGGAGGTCACTGGGACACACTGGGTGGTCACTGGGGGGTTACTGGGCTGTACTGAGGGTCACTGGGAGGTCATTGGGATACACTGGGGGCACTGGGATCCCCTTACCCAGATGTGGTACATCTCCCTCCCAGGATTTTGGGGGGCATCCCTAGGACCCCTGGGGGCTGGGGGACCCCCTAAACCCCACTGCTGAGCTTTAGGGGACTCCACAAAATCCCCTCAAAACCCCTGAGATCCCCCCCTCGATCCATCAAAACCTCCTCGAGGTCCCCTCAAATCCCCTCAGAGACCTCATCCCTCCCCAGCACCCCCTAAACCCTCTCAGTGACCCGCAAAACCCACCTGGGACCCCCCAAGCCCATTCAGGGACTCCCCAATCTCCCTCAAGGACCCTCAAAACCGTCTGGGACCCCTTAAACCCCCCAGAGACTCCAAAACTGCCTAAAAGGTCTCCGCAAAGGCCCCCAGGACCCCCAAACCTCCTCACAGACCCCCAAAGCCCCCCTGGGACCCCCCAAATCTCGTCAGAAAACAAAACCCCCTCAGAGACCCCCAAACCCCCTCAGGGACCTTCAATTTCCCCCCCGAGTCCCCTCAGGACACTGAATCCCCTCAGGGACCCCTAAAAACGTCCCCGGGAACCCCGAACTCCTCCGCTAAACCCTCCCGAGCCCTCCA